AGTGAGTGAAGGAGAAGCAAAGATCAAATGCTGGATGTTAAATAAAAAAGAGTTGCAGAGTTCAGGAAGGGGTTGAGACAGAGAGAGGTGGCAAAGGCTTATGGTGAGCTGCATGTCAGGTTGGACACTAAGGATGGAGAAAAGGACTTGTACCCAATGGTAAGAGACAGACCAGGCTAGGAAGTGTGTGCAGCAGGTAAAGGTGATTAAGGATGGAAATGTACCTATGAGTAATACGACTGTGCAGGAAATATGGAAGGAGAACACTGACAAATTTCTTAATAAAGAAAATGACAGAGAAAGGAGGATGTATGGAGGGCAGTTAGTAAGCAGGATTAGTAAAGAAGACGAGTGGAGGTATGGAAATGTCTAGAAGAAAGGGCAGTGGACCTGTTAGCCACAGAGTTTAAAGCAGTCTTGCCTGAAGAATGGAGAAGAAATGTGCCGGTACTGATTTTCTCGAACAAAGGTGATGTGCAGAGCTGAAGCAACTACAGAGGGATAAAGCTGATGAGCCACACCATGAAGATATGAGAAAGAGTTGTTGAGGCTTGGTTAAGAAGGGGTGATGATCAGTGAGCAGCAGTGTGGCTTCATGCTGACAAAGAGCTCTACAGATGTGACGTTTGCTCTGAGAGCGTTGATGGAGACGTTTAGAGAAGCTCAGAAGGAGCATCACTTTCTTTGTGGATCAGAGAAAGCAGGTGATTGGCTGCTGAGAAAGGAGGTGTGGTTCTGCACGAGGAAGTCAGGAGGGTCAGAGAAGTGTGTGGAGGTGGTGCAGGACATGTGAGGACAGGTGAGGTGTGTGGTGAGATTAACAGGTGGGTTCAAGGTGGGGGTGGGATTACATCAGGGATCAGCTCTGAGCTCCTTGTTTGCAGGTGGAGTAGAGCATGGAGAGGTGGAGGTATGATCTGGAGAGCAGGGGGATGAAAATCAATAGAAGTAAGACAGGCATGTGTGGATGAGGCTGGTGCAGAGGTCAACATGAAGGAGCAGAGGTAGTGAAGGTGGATGAGTTTAAGTACTTTGGGTCAACCATCCAAAGCAACAGAGTGTGCACAAGAGAGGAGAAGAGGACAGTCCAGGCAGGGTGGAGTGGGCGGAGACAAATGTCAGGGGTGATTTATGACAGAAGCTAAAGAGTACACAATAAAACTAAATCTATGAGACCAAGATAAGAAAACAAGCAAATGATTAATGTATGTTAGTCTATTTTGTTATTCGTCATAATGACAAACTCTACAAACAAGTAAAATAAAATAAAATAAAATCATGGCTACTTGCCTTCAGTCTGAGGAAATCCTCTCTTCTGTGAAGTCTCCCCACAGTTGCTGACGTCCACTGACAGGCAGTGATTTTGAGCGTTAGACTGATTTAACCTGCGAAACGTTTTCAGACTGCAGTGACGTCATGTTTGGTTTTCTTGTAACTTACCTTCT